TACTGATCTATTCAGTGCGCATTTACATGCACAGCTCTGTTCTGGGAAAAATGAACATGTTTCAAAATCCGGAAAAGAGAAATCTAGAAAACGAAAAATACGGAGGCTTCAATTTGGAAAAGAGGATTCTAAAAGAAAAATTCTGAATTTCAACATGAAAACTCGATTTTCTTGCGCGAAAATCTTTTTGTAGATTCCTGTTTCCCCGATTTTTGGTTTCCAAATTTTGACACAACACTGAAAAAAATGCTGTGAACTTGAGAGACTGTCCATATTCAAGAGATTATCCACTGGAGGCTGGAACGGCAAGAGGTGTCAGCAGTCTAGAATAGAGAAGTATCCACGTTCAGGAGGTTCCTTTCCAGCAAAAATAGCTCAAGAGAACCGAAAGGTGTCCATAATAGGAAAATATCCACATAGGGAGATCTTACTGCATATGAATAATACTGAATTTCATTTTTCGCTATTTCGATTCACCATTGAATGCAGATCATAGTTATGCTGTTTTTACAGGCTTCTGCTCTTGTGTGGATATTTGTTAGCATTTTTCGTCCGAAAAAAAACCAAACTCCTCTTTTCCTCTTTTTTTACAAACTGTCGGTGGGATGCCAGCTTTTGACCAAAACAAAAAATATATTTGACAACGAATGCTACAGATCCGTCTGCCAGGCAAAAAATATCTCCTCAATCACCACCACATACTATAACAGACAGTGTTGGTATAAGATCATAGATCGTGTACGAATAACGTCTTGTTATAATATCTGAACTAGTTTCTTATTGCATTTCCGGAGGATTAAGAAAAACGACGGTGACGATATGTGTTCCAAAATAGATTAATTAAATAAAAGCATCTTCTCATGATTAATAACAGCGTCTACATATTGTTTTTCAAATTTTTATTTTACACAGATTACGTTAACAGATTTTTTTTACAAAGTGTTTTTCTGTATAAGATTTGATCATACGAAGAGTACGAAAGAAAATTGAATAGAATTATTGAGGTTCTTCAATAAAATTAGCATTGCTTATCAAGCTAGAACAGCTGTTTGATAAAGTGTTTATAGTGAGGAGAATAGTTTCTTCTTATAAATATTTAGTGTTGGTAGTTAATGTATTAATAAACATATTGTGTTTCTATGATGAAATAAATTATTCTAATAAGTTAAAAAAAAAACAACTGATATTTTTAATTTATTGAATATGTGATAATATATATGTATGCATGTTTAGAAATTACTAATGGCTGATCCATTATTAGAAGATCTTATATTAAATGAAATGCCTGATGTTGGATCATTACGAATAAAAGCATACGAACAATGTCATTTACCAGATGATGAACGAGATTATGATTTAGAAGAAGAAGCTGAAGATGATTTGGCGGCATATGTTAGTTTTTAGATTCATAAAAAAAACAAATTCACTCAATAGAATTTGTTTATTATTGTTATTGTTTTTTTTGTTAAGGAATTTTCATTTTTTGTAAATAATGTCTTGGCATCATTAGTTGTTGATTGTTCAGATGAAAAAATGTCAATACGTGCATTAAAACAAATTCATCGTTTAACAACAATTGATTTATATCGTCAATCATTAGGTGATGCTTTATCTGATGCAATCAATAATTATATTTATTCTCATTGGAAAAATCGTTTTATTATTGAAAAACTTATTTCAAATAATGGTATTGAAATTTTTTTTTATGACTATATTGAATCATCATGTCAAATGTCAGCATCACGTATGATTAAAAATATAACAGCTGATCAATGGAAACAACAATCATTAACAACAATTCAATTTGTTGTTAAACAAATTAGTCAAAAAATTCAACATGAAGGTTATTTTCTTTTATTTAATATTTATTAATAGATTTAAAATTGGTTCTTGTCTTTTTTTTCTCTACAGGTATTGAATTAATTGAAGATAAACAATTATCGAATTTCGAAATTGAATTAAAACAAATATTTGGTCTTGATTCAGTTGATGATAATGAAAAAGAAAATTTTAATATAATTATAAATGTTTTAACAAAAATTTTGATGGTTTTCGGTAAAAAACCATTTATTGATCGATCTTCATATGATCCATTGTTTTTATATGTTAATCAAATGTGGTTTGAAAAATTTAATTATGATCAATATCGATATAATATTCCATATTTACTTAATAATTGGACTTCAATTATTACACAATGGTTAAAACTTGATTATTCAATTCGTCAACAATATATTCAACAAATAAATACTTATCTATTAGATAATCAACATTAACCAACTTTTATGTTTAGTTATTTATTTAGACTCGATGTTTCTTTTTTTGTTTTGTTTTGAAATCTTAATCAATAAAATAGAGAAAAAGAATTATTTATCTTTGGATAAAATATTCATATCATCCATAAATAATTATAATTTACAATCTTTTTTATTTCAATTAATATATCAACATAAAGATTTCAATAGGACATTTCAACTGATTTCTTGATCTATTTTCGTATATTGACAAATAATAAAATTCTAATATATAAAGTTAAATTTTATCTCAAGTCTGTTTAATCACAGTAAAATACAAATATTTATTAATAAATAAATCTTATTTAAATACAAATCAGGTTATTTTGAAATTAATAAAATCGATAGAAATCAATTAGCGTTCTTATGCACATTTGATATCATCGACTTTTATATAATATGTTCATTAAACTAAACATTCAATAAATTTTATAATTATATTAAAAAAAAACAGTCAAAATGGTAGATAACAATCTTCCATTTGGCTTTAATATTCTTTTTAAGGATTTATTTTGTCAAGATTGTCTTTAACGATGAGTATATGTTAACGTATTATCTCTTTTAGTTCATATCAAATTAAACTTGAGTACCAAATAGTTATGCTCATTCAATATTTTATGTTTGCTTTTATTTTTTCATTTTGAGCTTCAATATAAATTAATTGCGATAAGTAATTAATGAATGATTCCATGGTTTAATTCGAAAGTATTTGATACAACTAAATGATATAATGTTCATTGAGAGATTGTTCATTTTTAGAGAGACTTTTGTAAAGGCCGACCTAGAAAATCAACAAGCCTGAAACATAGAATATAAAATAAATATTGCAAATAGAAAAAAAAAAGATGAAGAGAAAATATTTTCAAAAATAGATTCTTAAACTTAGATATTATGACGATTAATAAAGTATGTTTCGAAAGTTTTATCGTTTTATTGTTAATTATGTTTTCATAAATAATTTCGATGAATTTTCTACATCTCTCTGATTAGTTTACTAATTCATAACTGTCTTTGTAACTTTTCTTTAGCATTATTTTCTCATTCGATTGATCAAGTTTTTTTTTAGTGTACTTTAACGATGCAATCATTGATATATCATAGTATAATCGTACAATGACACATAAGAATAAATTCCACACTCTCAAGAGATTTTTCAATATAATTAGGCATAAGTTCTTGAATTTAGAATTTTATAAAACAACAAAAATTGTTGATTTCTCTTTTATATTCTATACAGATGAAGATCAATTATTGTAAAAACTGATTTAAATAGTCTGTCATAAAACTAAACTAAATACAAATTGATGATAGATATAAATAAAATTTAAAAATGCAGATCCATAAACTTGTCGATGTTTTTTATTCGATTTGATGTACTTTTTTCTCAAATTCCGAAAAAGTCAGTGAAATATTGACTAATTTTTTAATTATACTTAGAAAAGTAAATAATTATTTGTTTCCTGGAAAAATCTTTCCTATTAAAAATTTGATATTTTTCTCGTATGTTAAGAGATAAATGTTTGTTTCCTGTACGATACAATTTTAGTTTCATACAAATGTATTGTAAATACGAATGTAATTTCAAAAGCTTTTTATATACATTCGACTCATATTGAGTTTATTTGTTCTTTCAAAAAAAATTAGAAGACAAGTGTGTGCCAAAGTAAATGTTCATATAAACAGGCAGAAATGAGATTTTTCTGCTCAAAAAATCCCATATATTAATCATGACTTCAATTTTGAGAAAATAGAACCTTTTTGAAGAAAAAATAATTTTGATGACAAACACTTCCACAAAATCTTGTTCTATTGGACAACTTTCGCATGAGTTGCTTGAAATATACGTTCTAATGATCACAACTTAGAAAAAAATTTTCACCAAGGATTTATATTTTTTGAGATTTTGCTACTTTCCCTGAATCAATATTTCATCAAAGAACGAACGAGAATGTTGATATTACAGGTAAAAAAATCTAAGAACATGCTCTTATGATATGGATATGGCAGTAAGAGAAAGTGAAATAGCAAAAACAAAATACTATTTCAAAGATCGTTGACTTGATGGAAATAGCACAAACGAAGAGAATATAGATATGTTTTGTTAATCAAGTAAAGTTAGTTTTTTTTATATGATAATAGGAAAATTCAACTCAATTCGTTTTACTCGAACTCTTCGTAGAAAAAAGAAAATCAAATTTTATGCTTTTCTTCAACGATGATTCAATGTGATATAGAAACGAAAGTTGAAGAGTTCCTTTTATGAAAAACTTAGATAATGAAAAAATTCATTTAATAGGTTAGCAGCTAAAGCAGATGATATATTTTGACTGAACTTGTTGAAAAAGTTCTTTTGAAAAAAAAACATGCTGACTTTTGTTTTTCTGAAAAGATTGAATCAGTCCTTTATCAATATTATTGTTTTATTGAAATATAATCCATGATAAAACATGGATTGTCTCCATCTCTCATCGTTACATAAAGTGACATTTGTCAAGTAAGTTGTGTTTTTTTTTATCTATGGAATAACGATAAAACACAATTTATTATCTTTCGACCTTAAACGACTTTATTTTTTTCTTTTCAAAATCTATGTAAAGTGCAATTACTCGTTACTTTTTGAAGGTAGACTCTAAAATTATAAATTGATTGTATTGTTTTATTATGGGTTAATTTATTTTATTTAAAATAGTTGACGATTAAAGTATAATGACTTCATTGAATTGTACAAGTGCTACTTGTTTTGATGAAACAGTGAAAACAAGTTGTGTCACTGTTCGAACTTATCTTGGTAGACTTATTCTTCGTACTCATCATGAAGATGATACTGCCAGTCTTGCATCGATTTACTCGGATCCATTCTCAAGAAAACATCTGCCTTTTCTTCAACCACCCAATGGATGGGGAGATGATGAAAAACGAAATGAAAATAAACAATGGACTGAACAGGATTTTGCTGATCGAGTTAAAGTACAAAGTGAAAACCGAGCAAATGGAAAAAGTTGTGTTTTCAATATTATTTTATTATCATCAGCATCGAATGAGAAAAATGATCGATGTATTGGAACAACAGGCTTTGTTACAATTGATGGTGATAATGGATACTTAGGAATAATTACAGATAAAAATACAACTCGAATGGGATATGCAACAGAGGCTCTTTATACTTCAATTGTTTTTGCATTTGAAAAACTTGCTGTCAACAATATTATTATGCAAACAGATGAAAAAAATCAAGAAATGAGAGGATGGTGTGAGAATACGGCGGGATTAAAATTACATTCTAAGAAACCTATGGAAATCAATGGTCATACATTTACAGAATGTCAATACAAATTCAATGTCGATGAATGGAACAATTCAATTAAGAATAAATTAGAAACTAAGATGAATTATATTAAAATAAATAAAATGCTTTCGTGAAACTCAACAGATCATTGACAAGTTCATTCGCATTGTTATTTAGGATTTTCAAAATAAATAAATATATTTAAAACAAATAAATGATCTATACTCTTTCACTATACTTATATATCATTTTAAATCTATTGAATTTAATATTCTTCAATCGATTTTTTGCATCAAATTATTAACATTCATATTTACTCATCTAGCTTAACAAATATTTTGACTAATTTACACATTATTGATCAATCAATAAATACATTAAACATTTACAAAAAATATTTTTTTTATTTTATACAAAAAAATGATTGAGAACAAAATATGAATCAGAACTAATCATCAAACATAATAAGAAGGAAAATTCAAACTCGGTCATTTTTTACAAAAAATATTTAGTAAAACAAAATAAGATTCGATTTTTCAATCTAATATTTGTTTTAATATTCATCAAACAAGAGTTTTTCTTTAGAAACCATATGAATTGTTCATGAAATTAATATCTTTGATAATTAATTAATCGTCTTTGATATGTATGAATTTGCTTTTTCTACTTGAACGATATGTTTCAATAAAATGATTATGCTCTATGTATGATAACAATGTTCGACAACATAACTGACACTTGTTAAACGAAATGTTTCAGATTGTAACAAAGACTTTCTATTTAACTGATAAAAACTCGAATTTTTAAGAATAAAAATCATATGTTGAATTTCATTAATGTTTATCTAGTAAAAATCTATTTTACAAAGTATTTTCTTATACAAAAAAAAAGTTTTTCAAGTAACGATATACACATTGATGTAAAGCGAATAACTTTACAATAAAATTAAACAATTATTATGAATTTGATTGAATACAGATCCATGATTACAACCATCGTACATGTGACTTATCTAAATCATTAAGAAGCTTTTATAAAGAATGTCATCATCCACAATCAACCAATTAAGTTAGATTTATATTAAACTAGTTACTTCATATGAGATTATATGCAGATCTAGATATTTTGAAGAATGCACGATCACCGATAATTACCGAAAAATACAATCCATATCCATACAAACAGTCGTCACCATTGATGATTATCCAAAATAACCAGAAGAAAGTCTTGTCTGCTGGTTTTCTGAACTAAGAAATAATACCAATCCAACAATGACCATATGTACGATTTATAGTATATGAAGTAACTGTTTTAATATATATTTGACTGTTGTTCAATAATTGCGTGTCTCACAAAAATCACGCGTTGATCATTAGACATCTCATTATATATCAAGCAAGCGATTATTTGTTTCTTAATTATAGATGGTAAAAGCTAATTCTTCTGATAATGTTACTGATGATATCAGTTTCTACTTTAATTTTATCAATCATTAGATGAGTATGAATATCGATGAGACTACAAACTTCATCGATATTTTCAGATGAGTTCTTGTTACAGATTGGAGAAAGAATGTCATATTCGATCATGTCGTAATTTATTTATTGAAAATATTTTAGAAGATTTTGCAACACTATTATATGATGAAAATCAAACGTCAAAAAGCAGAATATATTTCAAGATGAATCAATTTCCCTCATTTATGAATTCTAATATTTATTTTAATGAGAAAACGGAAAATTTTCCGCACTGGTTTGAAAATGCGGTCGCATAGCTTGCATTTCAGTTAATAATGATCATGAATCAGATACATATATAAGACTGTTCGGACTGCAAGTGTCTATGAATGCAAATTTTCGGTTAAGCTTTATTTATTATGACATAATATGAATCTTGAAATTTTCACAGTAAAATCTAGGTGGAAACTTGATGAGAAAAGTATGAATATGCTTTTCTATATGAAAATTGTTTTCGTTTGATCTGTTTAACACTATTATAATACATTGTTCAGTCTTTATATTAAAATGAGAAATATCCAAAAAGAAGGAGAATAATAATGAATTCGTGAATACAAACTAAATAATACAAGAGAAATATTTAAAAAAAAGAATTGAGGCTATCGAATCGCCAGGAAATATTGATTCAAATGATTTCATTATAATTTGGCCCTTCATTATAAAAATATAGTAAACACAAATAGAAATAAGATGAATAGATAACACAGTGATTGAATAAAAAGAAAAACATTATTAACAGAATGTATATGTGTATTCTTGATAATAAACGAAATATTAGAAAAGCTTAAATTCTGTCCGAGCTTTACTAATTTTAGTTAGATTGTTAAGACGAAGCGCCGTTGTTTTTATCTTCGATAGATTTTTGTGCTTCACAAATTTGTTCTTGAATAATACGTTGCATTTTTTCATACTCTGCACGAGCCTCGTCGTCTTTTTTTTCATCGCACAGGGAATTATATTTGCTTTCGCTTTCTTGAAGATTTCCACCATCTTTGTCCGGCATATTTTATTTATAGATAACACAAGTTCTTCTAAAAAATATTGTTTCAAACAAAATATGTAATACATATTATAGAATGATCTTTCAAATTTCGATACCACAAATATCAGTCTATATTAAAAAATGCCAATTTGTATAGATCGATAAGCAGAACTCATAGAATTGTTTCTAAATATGAATCAGTATAAATTTTCAATAGAGCTCATATAGAAAAAGGTTTTGGTTCAAACTGTTTGTCCTGATGCATCCTAATAGTTGCGTTTTAAGCATATTTCTTAGTGAGCTACCCTATTGACCGATTATCGAAAGGTGGAGAATGAAGCAATAAAATTTGCCTTCAGTAAGCGATATAAAAGTAAAAGTAAATGTCTCTTAATAAGGTTCGACACTAAATTTGAACATGAAAAGTAAAAGTCTTCTTTTTGCTAATAGATAAAGCTTAATGAATAGAGGAAATGCTGATTAGTCATGTTATCAAATGATGACTGAGCACTTATTCTCTGATATTATGATTTTCTCTTTTTCTTCCCCACAAATGCTTTCATCTAAATAATATTAATGAGCCACTAATAGAGAGTGCATATTTTTAAAGTGGTATTCTACTTACGTTTCGAAAATCTAAGTAGTTATTGTTCAATGAAGGCAAATAATACAGAGAAACTATTAATATACTAATTAAATCAGTATTTCAACGTGAACCTCGAACATTGTTGAGTGTTTTCTGTAAAAATTAACCTTCGGCCACAAGATGCAGCCAAAACCGTAGTTTGTTTTAGTATTTGAAAATTGAAAAAGACACCAGTCTTTGCATATCTTTCGGACTTGCTTGAACCCACATTAAGATAAATCTTAATCAGTATTAGTTTTTATCTGTATTAAGTCATTTGTCTTACATAGTACAGCCATTTTAGTCTTTTAAATATGTGCTTCATTCTCTGATAATGAAACTCGAAATCATTGTCTATATGAATCCGAACATTACTATTTAATTCAAATGGTCACCGCATTTTTCTCGCATTTCGTGAATGTGTTTATCGTAACATCGAAGCTTTATATGAGAAAGCAAGTCGAATAGTAGTTTTAATCAGAACGTTTAGTTTAAAAAAAGCACTATTTTTCGAAATGTAATTCTACATGTGAAAATAACGACAGCAGATTATAAAAAAGTTAGGTCAGGGTTATATGTAGCACAGTTTGATTACACACAACGTTTTATGGTGTCCAGATGTTGAGATTTATGGAAATGATTTGCGACATACAAAACTGTGAAATACTGCCACTTTAAATATCAAGACTTACGTGTACCACATAGCTTCTTTTTTTTTTTGAAACTGAGACTTTCGAAAGGTAGAAAACAACGAACTTGTTTGAGCCATGAACGTTTATTATGGTCTTTTTTTATAATATTAAGGTTCATTAAAAACAAACTCCGGTCAGTACGAATTAATTGTAGTTGACTGAGATTTTGATTCAAATATTTTCTTTTAGTACCCTACGTTAAATAAAAGTCATATACAGTACTGAAAAAAAATATAAGACTAATGTATTTTTCATTTATTTTTCCACAATACCAAGTATTCAACTTAATCTGAAATAGTTGTGTAAATAACCAAATGAAGTTCTCCATGAAATACATTCCATAGCGAAATTTGATCTGTTAACTATAAGAGGAAGGTTCCTGAAAAACTGAACATAGATTACAGAAGGTTGTGTGAAAATTAATTTTAAAGAATACTATCTTTATGAACGCAAACTCTTGAATAAAATGAGGAGTCACCGTATTTTCAACGAGCTTCCCTTAAACAGCTATAAATATCACAAGAATTGAAAAAAACGCGAAATTTACTATAGCATTACTAAAAGGTCGGTTATAGAACGCTGTTTTATTTTTTTCATTTTTTGTGATGCTTATAACTTTTTAAGGGAAGGCTGTAAGAAATCCGATAACCCTTCATTTTATTCAACATATTGTACTCTTTAAGATGATATTCTTAAAAAATAATTTTCACAGAATTATCTGAGATCTGAAAACTAGGGTGTTTGCCATTTTAGAAAGCTTTCTTTCATAGTCCGTCAATGAAATTTCGGTATGAAAGATGCTATATAACCTGTATGTACAAATCTATAAAAACAAGGTTTTACTTATACTATTAGATGTTTACTACCTACTTTGTCTGACTGCAACTCGAAATCATATGTGGCATTATTTCATTGGAGATAACCTTCCTTTTTATAGATTGAGTAGCTTGTTGGAAATTGCCATACTTAGAAAAAATAGGTTATTTACTTGGAAGTACGAAAAAATTTATTTTGAATCAAGGAACAATCCATTTGCACTATGGAGTTTCCGCTAAATAAAATTTGGAAATTTCCGACATGGAGTTTGGCAATGGTGGTTCTGTGTAAACTTATGTTTCCAAGATACGTTCGAATTTACTAGAGACAAGTCCAGTGAAGTATATTTCGTCGAAATATGCTCTTCGGATTTTGGCCTCACAGTTTTTATTATAGTTCAATAGATTTGTAAATCCATCAATGTATTTAACGAGTCAACAAAAATATTCGATTTCTACTTTGTTTTGTTGAGTAATTTAAAAACAGATTCCGACTTTACATT